CACCCCCGAGGCCAACAGCCAGGCGGAGAAGGGGTGGGACGGGGCTCGGCCGGGAAGGGCAGCTGGCAGCCAGGCGGGGCGGCCGGACCAGTGGGCGCGAAGGACGGCCGGTGGGCCTAAGTCATTTGGTGCGGGGCTTCCAGCATCTCCATGAGGAAGGTGTCGATGGGCGTGTCCCCAATGAGTTTGAAGAAGAAGAGATGTTCCAGGCACTTGAGGCCGATGGAGCGCAGGGCCGGCAGGCGCAGCAGGAGCTTGGCAAACCTGCGGAAGAGGAGCCGGCGTGAGGGGCCGGCGAGGCCCCCCACCCTACGCCCGGTCCCGGGAAGGGACCACCTCATTGCCCAGTCCCCCTGCCTGAGCCGAGCCTTGGCAGGGAAGGGGGAATCTCTCAGGCAGAGGAAACAGCAGGCCAGTGCCTGGAGGCGGAAGAGTGCAGGGTGGGTGCAAAGACCCTGCAAGGAGACCCCAAGGGTGGAGACTGGGGATGAAGGGCCAGAGGCAAGACAGCAGCCAGGCGGGAGCAGGCTGAACAGGGCTTCGTGGGGCTTCCTCCAGGGGCGAGAGGGAACCACAGCAGGGCTTTAAGCAGGGAGGGGGGGCTACAAGAAGGGGCCTGAGGATCAGCGCTGCCTCTGGCTGCAGCGGGGAACGAAGGTGGAGAAACCCCTGAGCTTGGATCAGGTCTGGGCTCCAGCAGGCCCTTCTTAGACAGCTCCGACCTCCAGGGTGACCGCCATCAGCACCCACCGCCCAGAAAGAGCCATGCTAAAGCTGAGCCAGGGGCACCTGGTGCCCGGGGGGCGGGGCGGGAGGGAGGGAGGGGGGCTCCTCAGGCCCTGCTGGCCGGCTCCCCGCCCCTCCCCATGCCCCGAAGTTGCTGGTGAGAACTCTGGTGGGGCAGGGAAGGGGGAAGACAGCTGGGGGTACTCCGCTGTTCTGCCACTGAGGACCCTCCGGAGCTGCGGGGCCCTATTAATTATTAACAATGTCTGTATTTCGGGGGGGAAGCTCCGGGCTTGGCTGCAACACAGCCTGCGTTTTAAAGGCAAAAATGCAGCTTAGAAGCTGGACCGAGGCCAGAGAACAAGCTGTTTTCTGCTGAGCTGGCGAGACGGGCTGGGCCAGGAAGCCAGGAAAAACAGGAGGGCCTGCTGCCCCTCTGTCCTCCTCCTCCGGGAAGTTTCATTTAAACCAAACCAGATGAGGCTGAGCAGAAGCAGGACACGGTTAACCATGTGTGCGCCAGTCGGCAGGGTGGTCAGGGGAAGGAGGAGGCCTGGTCTCGGAGGCCCCCACCCCGTCCCAGAAGGTGCCCCTTGGAGGGGGGAGAATCAGGACTACAGATGCAGAATGCCAGGAAGCCACTCATGTTCTCCCTTCTCTTGGACCCCCACTGTGCATCCGGCACCATGGACCCGGAAATGAGACAATTCCAGCCCTTCTGGGGCCCACAGTCCGCCAGGCAAGAGAGCCAAGCTCTGCACTCAGACTGTGCGTGAGTTTGTAAAGCACCTACTACGTGCTGGCGTCCATCCCTGCTGGGCGAGCACGCTAAGGCCCTGCCTCCAGCAGTTCCCTTTGGCGAGAGGTGGAAAGCACTGCCTTTGTTCATGGGCTCCACAGAGACAAGCACCTACTGTGTGCTGGCACCAGGCCCACCTCTGCTAGAGCCACAGGACAACGTGAGAGCATAGTGCTCGGGCCAGGAGAGCGCCTTGACTCCTGCCCTCGATGGAGGAGGGGTGCCAACTTCTAATTCACAGAAGTGCCCAGCGGGCAGGTGGTGGTCCTGCCCTGGGCAGGGGGTCTGGAAAGAGCCCTGGAGGTCCGTCCGGGCAGAGGCTGCGCCCAGGTCTCACCTTCCCGGCTGCTCCGGGTACTTGTGTTTGCAGTACGCCTCCAGGGACGCGTAGACCTTCTCACGGAGCGCCTCCACCTCGGCCGGGTTCGAGAGCCCCTTGGAGTCTGCGAGGGAGCAGGGCCTCAGGTCAGAGCTTGTCCCCGGGAAGGGGGCTGCCCCTGGGACCCACAGATCCTGCCCAGACATCGTGCCCTGTGCTTGAGCCCCAGCCCTGCCACGACCTAAGGCCAGTCCCCTGACCTCCTGTCACTCAGCTGCCCAATCTGTAAAGTGGGACTGCTGCCCTGACCGCTCCTTGCTGCCATGGAGACCGGGCTGACTCCTGAGGCCTCTGCTGCACTGGCTCCCAGCCCCTCTGAGCTGGATGAAGGCTCCAAAGCCTCTCCTTGAAACAGCCGGACCCACGCTGCAGGGGGGCCTCAAGCCATCTTCAGCTCTGGGACCCTGGGGGTGGGTCCCAGTGTGGAAGGGGCTCCGCTGGTGGACAAGGATGCCTGGGACGAGGGCCAAAAAACCTCCAAGGCCCAGGACTGAGGACTGAGGACCGCAGGCTGTCCCCAGGTCACCTCGGCGGGCTGTCACAGGCCGCCCTGGAGCAGGCAGAGCCCCCAGCCAGGTAAAGCTTTGCTGAGCCTTCTCTTCGTCTCCCGTGGTTCCCCTACAAGCCAACGCCGGACCGACTTTTCTCTCTGCCCCCTGCCCCACAACAGCCACCACGGGAATCAGGATTCGGGCTCCCGCAGAGGAGTCTGGCCCCAGCCGGGCGTGGTCCATCCTGATGGCAGGG